CCTCTCTCTCTCTCTCTCTCTCTCTCTCTCTCTCTCTCTCTCTCTCTCTCTCTCGCTGGCAGGAACAGCAATTGCAGCTTTAAAAAGCCGCTAGGATCGTTGCTTCGCGATCGTTGGAGTACGACGCGCCTATTAGCGATCACAAACGAGGCTATTGGAAAATACGAAATAATGCCCCAGACGCGTCGTCTCGTTCGCTTATTTATGTAATGATTTTACGTAACCAGCTAGAATGCACATTTTGTGTATTTTCCCTTATACGAAAAGAACGTTTTGCCCGAAGTGTCTAAAAATTGAGAGCCAGCTACAGATTGAAAAACAACATTCTGTTGAAATATTAAAATAATTTTTGTAGGACATTTAAATATAAGAAACTTTTCTGCGAAAACTTTTGATATTCCAGCAATTCGATCCCGACGTAATTAATGACTCAACAAAATTATCTTCAGATCTATAACGATCTGGTCAAATTTTTATGTCTTATCGCAAAATTATTTTATTTGCAAGATTTGAAAATCTTTCTCAACTTCCGTTCTTTTTCTTTTTTTAATGAAATCTGTAATGTGTGTAGATAAGATCGTCTAAAAAAGCTCTAATCAGACTTAATAGGATCTAATTTATCACGAATAGGCCAATAAGTCGATGAATCACGTAAATGGATATAGTGGAACAGAAATAACATTAATCAACATAAATAAGATGAAATCATCACGTGAATAGAGAAAATAAAAGTTTTTAATTTTTTATTAATATTATGAGTTACATTGTATTAAATCCTATAAAATTTATGATTTTATTCAATTTTTTCCTGCATGCATTGATTTTCTTACTAACTATTCGAATTGTCATATCAAATGTATAAAAAAGTTCCTTAATCAAATTTTGATGTATGCATTTAGTGCCTTTTCCGTTTTTGTCAGCGTTTTGTCGTGACGACTAGCCGTCTGAAACGGTGACTTATTTGCCGATATAGCAGAATATACGACAGCTAAAAGTTTGACGTACGTTTAATATATCTCGATTAACACTCACGTGTCTCGTTCGTGTCTTTGCAACGCTCGGTCTATAATTTGACGAATGAATGGTAAACGTCACGTGTTGACACGAGAAGATTTGAAGTGATTAGCGGAGAGGTTGAGTTTAATGAGAATACAATTGCTACTTCATAACATGTATAGATACATATTCCTCTTCCGAGAATCAGTTTCTAAAATATTCCGCCAGTTCATCATATTTTCATGTACGATCGAGCTTACTAATTAAAAATTATACATATTTTCTAGTTTCTATTTTATTACCTAAACTATGCATAGTCAGAACTCGTGGCACAAATTAACAGAACGAGGGAAAAAATAATCGATATTTTTTTTATAAGAGGAATAAATGCAAACGGAGAATAAATAATAAATCCAGAAAATTATAATATTTGAAAAAAGAACAATATAAAATAATGTACAAGTTATTGTAAATTAAAAGATACGACTAGGTTATAGATTTACAAAATTAGTCAGACCACACATATATGAAAATAATAATAACAAATGCAGGTGTCTGCAAGTTTTACATAGTAATTGGGGAAAATCACTTATTTATTTCGTTGCGTAGAAACAACGATTCTGAAAATTGGAAGTTCGGACAATTTCATGTTGGATCATAATCGTAAGTAATTATTTGATAAATACACAGTTCATCTTTATTCTCTGAATTAATAGAAAAAATACTTCTCACGTACTAGCGTACACAGAGTGCTAAACAGTCATTTTAAAACTTGTAAAACTTGTTAAACAATCAAATGAAATAAACGATAAGTGATTCATGCTTTATGCAATAAGAGATCTTCGATTCGACTGGATATAAAGCTGCAATTTTCCTGCGATTTTAAATTCAGGTATAATTTCGATAAATATGCAATATGACGGTCTCTCCTCTGATCTAAATATAATTTTGTAAATTTGTATATTTGTATATTTTCATGCACAGACTATATTCTATATATAAAATATATAGAAGAAAATCATTATTCAAGTCTCGTTTTCTTTTTTTTTTAATTTTCTACGATTTTTTTGAATTCATATAAATCCATATGAAAGGAATGAAAAAGATATATTTAAGATATATTTAAGATAAATTTAAGATAAAAAGATATATTTAAGATAAATTTTGAATTATAAACTATTCTCTGCTATGACTTAAATTATACAAGAAAATAATTTGTATTTTTCATTAAAGCAGAGAATATGCAGTCATAAATTATCATCAAATTATCATTTCTTTAATTCATTAACGTCAATTCTTTAATTCAGTCAACGTTCAATTCTTTAATTTATTAACGTCAAAAAACTTTGAAAATAAAAAAATCAGAAGCGACTTTCCTTCTCAGAATATTCTACGCATGAAAAATATATAAATTTACAAAAATTACAAGAAAATCGTAGGAGAGAGCGTTATGCTGCATATTTACCATATTTTTTTTGTATTTCCAATCTCTGATTCTAAGACACGCTGGAAGCTGCAGTGATTTCTTGATACGATGGGATAAACTAAAATATTTACAGTTCGTTACGTTCGTTATCGATTATCATAAAATATATCGGGAATTAACCGCGACGATCGCGCGTGCGGCTTCTCGGAAAAATGCGGACGAAATAAAGTCATCGGCGATGCTCATTCATCAAGCGACTTCTAACCGCGGTCGGGCACGTTCCGCGATAAATATGCCGTGTATATGTGCGACGGCACGTCAGTTTTTCCATCATTTATCTCTCGAGCGCTTAATTCTCTCTTATTGGGAGATCCGCTTCAGTTTTTGAATCTGGCCTTTACGGCGTCATCCGCGGTCAGCGTGCGCGTCATCCCGACGACGCATGCGCCCCTCCCCTCCCCCTCCCCGCCCTTGCATCCCGACTTGTGGATCTATTCATATGTGGCCAGTATTAATCAATCACCTGTTTCATCGTGAACGTGCTTCTTTCTTCTTACGAACTATCTGGTCGTCGACTGGTGCACGCGTCACCCGAACATTCTGGATTCGCTGCGAAAAAGCGAGAACGGAAGAAAACGTGAGTCGGAAGAAAAATGTATTTCGATATATATATATATATATATATATATATATATATATATTCGCCGCGAGTCACACACGATGCGTTATAATGAGTGGTTTGTAAAATTGGCGAGTAATCATTTTCGCCATAATTGTGTCGAGCCGAACCGAGAGCGACTTCCATCATCGTAATTAAAAATTAGAGTGGTGTTTGCGGATCAAAGGGAAAGGCTTTGCCAGGAAAATGATATTTAACAAGTTTAATTATATCTATAAAATATCTATAAAATGATATTTATAAGATGCAACAAAACACACGTTCAAATTGACTCGACGTAATGAAATGAATCGCGCGCGATAAGTCCCCGGAGTCGCGACACATAACCGCCGTGTTCCATTACCGCGCGGTGCGGTTAGCGTTAATTTCGCTTGCTTTTGCTAAACACACCGTTGTTGCCGGGGAAACGTAAACAAAGCGTATCTCTCACGCGCGCGTTTAATACGCGGAAGTCGCGCATGTCGTTTGTAACATCCGCGTCGCCGTGGTTCTCCTTCAATCGCCGAATCGCGCGCATTGCGACGCAGTTCGATTCTACTGAGTTTTTTTTCTCCTTTTTTTTCTCTCGTTTCTCGCTCACGTTTCTCCTCTCTCTCTCCGAGCGCGAGACGCGTTTGAAAAAAGGGTTCGCCGCGCAAGCGCGTGTCCGAGCCGCGTCTCGCCGTGTCTCGCGCGCGAGCTTCCTTCAGCTTCCTCTATTCTGGCACCGAACTATCGTGCTCGTTACCGAGGGTGCGTTATCGGGTCTTCGCTAACGTTCGGCGGAGTGTAAGAGACCCCCCCCCCTCGTCCGGAAACGTCGCATCCGCGTCCCCACGGTAAGACGGTAAGACCCTTCCCTCCGCCTGACGGGTACCGACCGTCCCAGTCAAGTAATTAGGAGGTTAGGATAAATGAGGTTGCGTTTTAAGGAATAAACCTGACGTAAGAAGTAAGAAGTAAGAAATGAAAATAATCTATTTCGCCTAAACTGTAGCTGTCTCATATACCGGAAATACTACGTTCTTATTCTTTACTTCCTACGCCGAGCTTATTCCGCTTATTGTAGATACTTAATCTAAAGGCCGGCTACGAGGTATTAATACATTAAATTTATACATAATGATACAGTTGGATTTTATCGGGCCTGGTTTTCCTCACGAGAATTTTTTTTTTTGTAAAATATTTTCTCTTTTGCAAAACGAGCGCCGTACAGCAAGGCTCGTTTCGATGCGAGATCTTGAAACCAATGTCTCCCCGCTCCTCGTTTCCTCTTAGATGAACCTTGCTCCGAGATGCTTCTCGAGACTTCTTTATAAATTGATGAAAATTGCGCGAGATCGACATGTATATGGCAGATGTATATATATGACACTGATATATGCACATAACGTGCGTCCAAAAATGTATGCAACCAACGTTTTACGTATCTAAAAATGTCACATACAGCAGGAAGACGAAAGTCAAATTATAATTTCAATATTTTTTTGGAATATTTCATTAATCAGACATAATTATGCAATATAAGATCAAATGACTTTTTTTAGAATGCAATGAAAAATGTATGTATGGAAATATATGCAAATATGAATATAAAATATGAATTAAGCTTGATGTTTAAAAGACAGATTTTTAACGATGATTAATTGTAATTAATATGCCGGATTAGAATTTAAAATAATTTTTTTGAACAGATTAATCTCATGTCTGTGTCTTGGAGTTGGTTGTACATAACAAGCCAATTGTCGTCTCACCATTATCATAAATCAGCATAAAGATTGCTGTCTACAGTATTAATATATAAATTCGCCGAAACTAAATGGGTTGAGAAAGAAAATAAAATGCAGTCTGCAAATTAATTTAATTTTTACCATTTAATTAATTAATTTAATTTTTCCAGCTAGACTTTTGAGTTATAATAATTAAAATTTTATAATTAATTTCTCTTCAAAAAATTACATTACATATGTATACGTGTAAAATTATTCTACAAAAATATAATATCTGCCAAGAAATGTCTTTAAATATTAAAATTTCTCGGAAATTTCACAAAAATAATCTGGTAATGTTACTTCTTCGTGATAAAATGCCAGTTGGTATGAGTCAAAGCAAAATGGAATAATTTTAGATTTTTAGAGGAAAAGATGAAGAGATGAAGAGAAGAGAGAGGTGAAAAATGAGAAAAGCAGGTAAAAAAGAAAGTGGCGGATCACAAGAACGGGGCCCGAAAATTGAATGTGTCCCGCGCATAACACGCGTATGGAACGAGAGCGCGCCTCGGTAGGTTTTAACCCTGAGTTCACTCGGATATGATTTAATTTAACCGAGGCTCTCGGCAATCCGACCGCTCAATCTATCTCTGTCCACCGACGTGTGCGCGCGAGCCGTTGCGACGATCGTTTCCTTCTCGTCGATCTCCTTGGCCTTTTCCTCGGTATGTAAAAAAAAAAATATATACACATACTTCTGAAAACATTTCGCTTCCACGTGCGATCGTACATCGCGACGGGAAAGTCAGTCGGTTTGCGAGTTATTTATTTACGCGAAGAGTAACTTTTTAAAGGTGAATGTGAAGTGAATGAAAGATAAGACGCGAAGAGCGATTTCATACATGTAACTCTTGTTTTCTTGTAATAGCACCACTATTCATAAGATACGTGGAGAAAGGTCACGTCGGAATAGTAATCGGTCAAGTTCGATCGCGAACAGTCACTTGGAAAGAGAGGGAGAAAGTGCGCCGAAGAATAAGAAAACTTTTGCAACAATGTACACGGTAGATAGAAAGTAATTCAGAAATAAAAAACTTTGTAAAACTTTTAGAAATATCGCCGTGCGAAATAGTTCACGGCTCACCATGCAACGGTCTAACGGATGCATAAGAGGTGTCGTGATTTTTTTTTTAAGTCGCTCCTGAATTCTTTTGAGATTTTCCCCTTTGGTCCTTTGGATTTTTTTATATGATCCAAGGTCTTTTTCGCAGATAACTTGCCACTCGGTGCACTTACGTATATATTGACTCGGTATATATTCGCGCGGGACAGATTTACAGATTACCCACTATTTGCCGCGGGAGCGACGAAGACCTCCGGAGAGACCTCGGTGCTCTTTAATGAAATAGCCATCCTGTGGAGTGTGTGCAATGAAGTACAATGAATGAAAGAGCTCTGCGTTACGAGCGCGTTATCGTCGGGATGTTAAATATTTCGAAACGCAGCTTTTTATATAACGCAATTTAATTTTCATAAATTTGATCTCGTTAATCGAAAATCCGACGATAACTAGCCGTCATTATGGTCCGCGTTTATCATTTAACATAAAATACATTCTTGCATAAGTTGAAGTACCTATATGTCAACTTATATAACGATATGGTTATCAAAATATTAACTATGTATATACCAAATATGTATGTCATATATTTGACACAAATATATTTAACACTTCGCGATAAATATTATTATGTCGCTATACTCCTGTGCTATGTGATTATTATTATGACTTGCCAGTCCTTTTGCCCTTTATTTTTGTCTGAAGATAAAAATATATAATATGATACTAAGCATACATTCACATATATTTTAGTAAATTTCATCGCTTACTTATTCTTGCTTTAACTTATGCAAGAATAAATCCAGAGGGGATTGCCTACGAAAACAAAAAGTATCTCAGCAGCCATTTCTGGACGCAGATATACGTGAGACGTCACGTTTGATGCACGGAGAATGAGATATGCGCTGGAAATGCTTCGTGCAATCTTACGGGTAACCCATGTAGCGGAGTCATTTTTCATGGCTGTTACAGGTTAGGAAAAATATAGGCGAAGTGTCGGTCTCCCGTGGTGAAACGCGCCTTGATCCATATCACGTCGATATCACGAAAACTACTTGGAGACTCCCATATGCGCGGAAAACAGATGTTCCGTTCACCATGTTAATGTAGTTGCACAATGACACGATAAAAAAGTAGCGTAGCTACTTTTATCGCGCATTCATTTTCTTCCATAGTGCATAATAAGGATCTTTCTTCGGAAGGATGCACGCTATTTTTCGCAGGATATAATTTTCTTCCTCGACATTCAATCGTCCAACGAGAGTTTTATGATAATAGAAATTCTCGGATTCGGCAATTAATCTTTCCAATCTCCTCGATTGCATAGTTTGGACGTGCTTGTGTCGTCCTAAACGAATATTTCATATATTCTATATTAGCAAGAATTGTAAAATAGTCTGTTAAGCTATTTCTTATGAATTTCACACCTTTTGAAATTTTTGAATACAAAAATATTATGGTGTACGCATGATACGTATCAATATTCTGCGGTATACAATAAAAAAAACAATGTATTCAATTAATTTTAAATTTTCCAGTAAAGTTGAGAAAGTAAATACTGTAATACTGTAATGCTGTAAATTCAACACGGTTCCAATTACAAAATTCACTAAACTTTTGTAATAGAATCAATATCAGTCAATAATTGGACAACAGTCCAACGCTTTTAAACACTTTTAATCAGAGTTACTTTTCTAGATTTACGATATTTGCAATATACAGAAGTGAAAATTAGTAACAATGTTTCATGTTTTAATTATTTATTATTTACATATTTTTTTAATTATACAGTAATAAAATTAGTTCAATTTTAATACATGAAAAGTAAAGAATAGTAAGAAATGTGTGTTTTAATACATGAATAGTAAGAAAATAAGTATATTTGCGTCATAGTCACGTTGCGCCTCGCAATTTTGCTGTTAACGTTCAGTCTCAAAGTCAAACAGCCTTGCACTATTTATAATAATGCAAATGCTTCTAGAAGCGGTAAATGTTGCAATTAGCACTTTTCCATTTTTGCCGAAGAATATATATATATATTATATATGCGCAACGAAGTTCAACGTAATTCGACATTGGCGCAAAGTGCACGAATTACATATTTGCACGAGTATCGCCTTTAGAGAATATCCGCCAATTCGTATAATGATATTACGTAGCGTTCCTATGCAATGGTTAGTGCAACTCGCAGAATGGAGAGACTTTGGCGCGCGAAATTTAATAAACTCGGGTCTCTCGAAACAGCGATAAGGCGACGGAAGGCCGTTTCACTTCTCTTGGGTCAGTAAAAACAAAATTACATAAAATTTTCTTCCTAAAAGGAATCCGTATTTTTCACAAAATAACACTTCAATATAAAAATTACATATATTAGTGATATAGTGTATTGAAATAAATATACATATCGCTAATATATGTAAACATATATTAGTGACGTGCATATTTAATCTTCTGTTTTTTGATCAACTTTATCTGATTTCTTTCCATCTGATTAAAGTTTAAATCATTCAAAAACTCTTAATTGCTTATGAAAGATTTATTAACGCTTCGACGATTTTATTACAAAAAGTCGTCTTTTCTAAGTTAGAAATTCAGACAAACTTAGAAACTTAGATGAAAATAATATCTTTTTTAAAAGTACAATTCAATAAGTAATGACTTTTCTAAATTTATGTCCTATAATATTCTCTCATTAAATGCATCATTGTTCCCCCAGAGACACATTTCACGTTCAAGACAGTGTCTGTAGACAGTGATATTGATTTGGCAAGTACATGTAAGGGGGGAACAATGGCACTCCATGCATTAAACGTAATTACTCAACGGTGCATCGATGACTCGAGTAACTTTAGCGGAAAAGGCCAATGCGGAATCATTAAATACATACGGCAATACGGAGAGAAGAAAGGGAGAAAGTCGTTGACACGAGAACGGAAAGAACTATCGATTCGGCAAACGCCTCTGTCATCGCGTAAATTCCGCTTGGGGGGAGGATCCCGGAGGATCCATCGTCCCGAAGAGCCTCGGGTCAGGATGCTGCCGCATAAAGAAAGGCGACGCTCGATTCGGCAAAAAGGCACCCAGTGTCTCGCCCGGAGTCTGAATGCAAATGAATTTCATTCCCCGACACTCGGCGTTTTCCCGCGCGAGGGGAGGATCCACGGGTGAGACGGTGTCCGAAAACTAAAGAATCGTGGCGCCAAAGGCGAGGGTGATATCTCGAGAAATATTGCGGTGGCCGATGAGGGAGCGAGGAGCCCGGGGTTGGTCTAGCAGTCTCGAGGAGGCAAATGTACGTCGACGGTAATGGTGATGGTGCTCGCTTGGGGCCGCCGAGGGCGAAAGAACGTAGCGAGGGGGTGGCTCTCTTCGCCCCGGTGCGCAACCGGGCGTGCAACGCGTACCGTTCTGGCGGAAAGCCCCGTGCCGACTTCGACCGCGCCAGTTGTCTCTAGCGGCCAAAGCCGTCGACGTTCCTTTGTAATGCACCCTGGCAGAGGAAAGAGTTGGCCGAACGTGATTCGTCATCGCGATGAATAGGATCGTACTTGCAATTTGCGAGCGGCTCTCGCGGCTGACTCATTTGCACTAATTTGCACTGAGACGTTAATGATCGTGGAATTAAGAAATGTTTCCGAAGTTTGGATCGATAGAATTAATAGAGTTTCGTGAAAAATACAAAGTTCTCCAAATTGACATATATATATATATATATATAACTGATTTTATTTTATTATAATTAATAGTAGTAATTAATATTAATAATAGTAACAATTGTAATTATAGCATACAAATTGTAATATATATCGTTATCCGTCGTATTTCTTTAATTCCTTGACGTTCAAGAAATTAGCTATGTCCCTCTTCTTGTGTATAGCTTCTAATATTTTAAACAATATGCAGTAATAAAGATTTATTGTGCGGAAATACGAAATTACCTTAATATTTACAAGATGCCAAGTGCAGGTTGAAATCCGATTATGAATACTGATTGTTTTGTTTTAGATTGTTGATGCAGATTGTAATGGCAAAGATAACAACGACGTTGTCTCTTCTTGCGGTGTGCCTTGTTACATCTGCTCTGAATAATGAGGAGCTGTTGGAGCTGGAATGTCCCGTGGATTGCCACTGTCACTACTTTCGCATCAACTGGGTGACGGACTGTTCGGATAGCAATCTAACAGCCATCCCGTACAACGAGCTCAGCCACGATGTCTATATTTTAGACATTAATGATAACAATATCGCAAGCATCAGTCCGTTTCCAAGCTCGATCAAATTGAGGCGTCTTCAGATGGCACACAACCAATTAACCGAGCTGACGTACGAATCATTTGCCGGGTTATCATATCTCGTGGACGCAGATTTCTCATACAACGCCATTACACGGGTAGATCCCGAGGCATTTCGGTAAGATGATTCGATATCAATTGTATTGCCGATAATTATTCTAATCTCAGGCGGATGATATAGGTTTTGCTAATCGTACGATTAATTCAATAGGGGCAACGAGGGCCTAATTACATTGGAGCTCCAACACAATCCCTTGGACGAGGTCGAGGGACCCTTCCTAAATTGCCGCACGCTGTTGTACCTCGATCTGAATTCATGCGGTATTCGCCATCTCAACACGCGCTTCTTCCACAACACGACAAATTTGAATAAGCTCGACCTATCGCACAATCCTCTGCAGAGGATAGAGCCGGGTCCTTTCGATCATCTGACGAACTTGGAATATCTCAAACTGAATGGATGCAATTTAACATATGTATCACCCGAAGCGTTTTCCCACTTGGAAAATTTGCGAGAATTAGAGATAGGAGATAATGAATTGAAAACGCTGGATTGGAGAAGCATTCTCGCGCCGTTAGTGCGTTTGGAACATCTAGATATCCGTAACACCGGTATTACAAATCTACCTGGCGATGCCTTCGCCAAAAACTTGTATCTCCGACAATTGGTCCTTGCGAACAACGAATTGTGGCATCTTGATGTCGAAGATACGCTCGGCCACAATTTGCACAGCCTGCAATCTCTGGACTTGTCAAATTGCAATTTGCAGGATCGTCTATCCGAGGAAGCTTTCAGAAATGCGAGCAAACTACGCGTACTCAATCTGAGCGGTAACCCGATGTTCGCCAGTGATTTAACTGTCGTTCTGCGTCATCTGCCAAAACTTCATAAGCTCTCCCTCAGCAATTGTAGCCTTCGAAGGTTACCAAATACCTTCGACGTGTTTGAACATCTTGAGGAACTCGATATCTCTCATAATCCACTATCCGACGCATTCGTCGGTCTTCTCAACCCATTAAGCGCTTTGGAATATTTAGATATGTCTTACTGTGACCTCGGTTATGTCGGAAATAATACTTTCGCACAAATGACCTTCCTGAAACAATTGATTCTTTCGGGGAATGAACTTCATACTCTGGAGGAAGGATTGTTCGCAAATCTGACACGTTTGGAAAGCTTAGAACTCAACAATTGTGACCTCAAGATACCCGTTGATCCAAAGGTCTTTGGTGACCGCCAAACGACGAATATAATAGAACTCAAGCTCAGTGGCAATCCGTTGATCGTACCCGATGAAGGTTCGCTGCTACCCACGCAGCTATCGAATTTGGAGATGCTGGACCTCAGCAACTGTGGTATCTCGCATTTAAACGAAGACATATTCGCTACGACAAATAATCTTACTCAATTAAATCTTTCGGGCAACACGATTTCTGGCGTAGAAAATCTGAGCTCTTTAAAGAAATTGCGCGCATTGGAACATATAGATCTCAGTAATAATAAACTGCGCACAATCAATCCAAAAGTATTCGAATCAAATCCACGCTTACTATCGATCAATCTTATGGGGAACCCATTTATCTGCAATTGTTCTATCACGGAGACGTGGGATTGGGCTGTACAGGAAAAGGGTGATCTTCATGTGCTCGTTGGCAGTCAGCCGGCCAATTTTGAAACCGGATCCGTAAAACGAAGGAAAACTCTCTCCTGTGTCTATGACGAAGAAACATATCGAAGCATAATAGACGGCAATCAGGTAACCATGACTCGGAAACATTATCCTAGCCAGTTTACACCTTCTCGTACCTGGGCTAAATACGTTCGCGAGTCCAATTGTAATCGACGTTTATGATATACGGCAAGCAAGTATCAACATCCGATGTTGAAAGTTTATTATCATAAGGTACGTAAACACACATATAGGCAGGAACTTTAAATAAGTTCTATACCATAAAATACTATTGTATTGTCATATCATACAAGCCATAAACTAATGTAACGATATTGTGAAATTTATATTTCCGTGGCATTATTTTTGTAGTCATAGGATTAAGGAAGATTTGTAATAGT